TTCATCTAGCATCATGGCTGGAACAGCTTAACTACACTGAGTTCAGTCTTCTTACTTGCATCCCAGCAGGCTAAGTCACATGCTACTTTTTCAGTAAAATCAAAACAGAGTAGGGAGCTTGGCTTTGCACAGGCTATCTGGAATATGTGGATTATGACCAGACGCTAGCATATGGACTCAGACACAGTCAGATCCTCATCCTTTTGCCTTCACCTAAAACTCTGAGCACACCATTTAAAGCTCTCTGAACAATTTTCCGTCTATTATATGCCAACAGCGGAGTTCTCTGAGCTCCATGTCCCTATAGACTGGGAGCAAAAAGTGCCTTGGGAGAAAGACTATTTTTGTGCAGTGCGTCTGACCTGCTCATGTGCTGAGTGACACAAACACCTCCTCTGCATGCCTGTCACCATATGGTTTCTAGCCTAGCCTGGCAAGCCACCAATGTTGAAAACACTGCAAGAAGTCCCAAGTGGGCAAGTTCATCGTCCCAATTCCCATGCCTGAGCTTGGCAACTGGCTCCACTTTGCACACCTGGAAATATTACAGCCCAACTGCATTTTTGAAGACCATACATCTCCCTTCTGCCCATTAAATGTGACATTTGTTCGGTATACTTTATTGCAATAATACCATGTCAGTTAGAGAGGCTGCAAAATTCACTTGCCGGCAGTAAACACTTCTGCTCTTCTGTCTGCACATGAAATGCCATTTTCTCTTCTTACAGCTTGAGAGGGCAGTAGTTATTCTGGAGGCAGGAATGGCAGTCACCTGCCTGACTTTTTGTGAAAACCAGGGCAGCCCATGGAAATATCACCCCTCGTCTAAATGCACATACCTGCAGTGCAATTGGTGGCTCTGTAGTCTCTCTGAACCAAACTAGCACTGGGTATGGATTGAATGGGTTATACTACAAGTTTAAATACTTGCTTTTAAATAGCTCACAAAACCTATCACAGAGGTTTGACTGTGCAGTCATGGATTTTTGCTTTGGACTGCCTGGTCCTACATAACCTCTGCTTCTTGGATATGAATAGGTACATGTTGCTAATTAAGACAGAAGAAACACAAATGTACAAGCAGAGAAAAAGGCAGAGGGTGCTCATACAGCTTCTGAGAGAAGCACTCCCCAGATTTTGGTGCTCTCAATGAAAAGCCAGGGTTGTCCCCTCTCCCGTACTGTTTGCTCTTTCCTCAATACATTGTACAGAGACACTCACTGTGGTGAGAGGAGATGCACCTTGCTTTGGCAGTCTTGCCACACAAATGGTTTGTGGGACCCGAAGAGAGGCCTCATGGTAACCCAGCAAGAGGATGCAGAAGATGCTTCAGAAGCAGTCAGCAAATACATATGTAGGAAGGCCTGGGAAAACCGCAGTTAGGCTCACTGCAAATGAGGGGCTCGCTCTGGCCCTCAGCCATGTGCGTGCCAGAAGTCTCCTTGGTGGAGCCTGGTGCTTGCGCATGGCTGAGGGCTAGGACACGCTAGCCTGCCAGAGCAGGGTGGGAGTGCAGGAGTGCTGCAGGGGAGCAGCATGGCTGGCTCAGAGACCGAGGCAACACAGCTCCTCTGCAGAAAAGCAATAGGTGAAATAAGAGCACCTCTTGACATCACTGGAGAAAGCCGCCATGCTCCTCAGCCAGCCAAGCAGGAGAGGACTGCCCCTTGTGTCGCATCCCCAGCTGAGCACAACCAAGCTGTTTCAATGCCTGTGTTTCTCCTAAACTAAAAGCACCTACCAATGTACCTGTCCCCTCTGCCAAACAGGCACTCAAGGAAAGACAATTACTACCTCCACTCAGCCTCTGCCTCCACCTGCTTCATGTGACCTCTAACAGAGATGTCAGCAAAGCCCTAGCACGGTTTCTGGGTCCCCCACAATCTCGCTGTGCACCATTTTGAAGGTGTCAATGAACAAGTCCATCCACTCTTGCCGCTCATTTCCAGTGGCAAACTTGGCTTTTTCGGCGGTAAAGGCCAAAGTGGCCACCAGCTGGGTGTACATGCTGGGGTCCTGGGTTTCCCGCGTGGAGTTTAGGAACTGGGCGATCGAATGTATGGTGCTGGGGAAATCTATGTTGACTCCCTCTTCCATGGGGCGGAAAATAAGTGGGTTTACGTTCCCAGGGTTCCTGTCATCTGCAAGTGAGCGTCAAAAGAATATTTTCAGGGCTTGCTAGCAATGACTGTGTCTCTGAATGCTACCTGGCTTTCCTACGTGCACTGCACCAGAGAAGAACAGAGCTAATGAGGGACAGAGAAGTAAAGACCAAAGCCAGATTTTAAATCTTTCTGCCACTTTTATGTCTGAGGAACTGTGGGATTTGCACCAAAATCAACCACACATCCACCGAGAGACCTCAGAAAACGACATGAAACCTTAACTGCCCAGTTCTTTCCTACTCATCCAGCACAGGCATGACAGAGAAAGAGCAGTGTGAGAAGAAGGCCACAGGGTCCAGCTTCTTTCTGCGTATAGGATTCAGCCATTACATAGCTTTGAATTTGCTACGTGCAAACTGTCCACATGATGCTGTACAGCCAGAAGACATCTAAGGGACAGCATTATGTGAACCCCTTGCCTGGTACTCAGCCCACTGCACTTTGGCTAGAGTCACTGCTCTGTGGTGTGCAATGCTCCTGTGTGGTGTCCAGGCTAGTCAGGACCCTGACAGCCTCCGTCTCCACCTGGCTGTGCTGAACTTAAATTCGAATAACATCCCAAAGCTGAAAGCAAAGCCTTTTGCATGGGTTAGAAGGAGCATCACAGAGCGTCATGCGGTTTCTATTGAAGCAAGTGGTCAGTTCAGATTTGCTCAGCATTTAACCCATTTAACACTCCAGCATCCTGTTAGCACCGCAGTAAGCAGTAATCAATGGGTGGTAACAGGGAGACAAGGGTCTGCCCTGAAAACAGGAAAACATGGATTTCCTTACGCAAAGAACTGAGGCAGCACACCTTCAGCTGCAGATGTGAATCCGAAGTGGTGAGGTGCCTGGCTCTGCAAGGCAGCAGGGAGGAAGTCGGGGTGTATGTAATACCTGTCCCTCTCTGTGCTCTGCTGACAATACCCAGGCTGTAGCTGGGGTATCTGGCATGAGCAATTGATTTGCTCCTTAAAGTGCCAGGACTGCAACTCTGACAGCCATAGGGCCAAGAACAGGGCTGGGTGTAGTTGCTTTCCTGACCTGAACCTGTCTGGCCTGTTTACAACTGAACACACACATTGGATGTGCACGAAGCTCACTCACATATCCTGCAAAGGGCACTGTTTCTATCCAAAGGGTTTGCATGTGAATTGGCACCAACTCTTGAGATGTTCTTGGAGAACCAGCAGAAGCTGAGCACTGAGCAGAGAAGCCCCAGGCTCTGTCACATCTTATGTCACATCCCATCCAACATCTTCCCTTGCCACTAGGCAAGTGTGATCATTGCAAATCCTTCCAAATGATGACAGCAATGCATCATGGACCATCCAGTGCGGCAGGTGGAAGGCGCTTTGCCCAAAGGCCCCTGAATCCCTGGGTATCACTTAAAACTTGATCTACCGGGCCTAGTACAGAACCTTGCACACCAGGACAACTTTTGCCCATGCTGAGATGGGTGTACTGGCTCTTTCACAGGAGGCCTACACCTACCCAGCCATGTCACTCCATCTCCCACATCCTCTGGGCGCAGGTGTAGGACCTGCACTTGACCTGGCCTGCCTACAACATGGTTTGAGGGATTCGCCCAAGAGGGAACCCCCTCAGATGCCTCCTCAAGCCATTTCTGTTCTGGTCCCCAGGACTGTCAGGTACCAGCGAACTGTTCTCACCTTGCATCAGGAACAGAAACACCCAAGTGCACTACAGGGAAAGGACCGCCAACTTCGCCTTTCTTTGGAGGGCTTTGATGGCCCAAGCCTAGGAGAACATGAGTGCGCCACTGCTTGGGTCAGTCTCTCTCCTGCAGTGTTCCTCAGAAATGGGGAGTCTGCAAAGACTGAAACCTTTGAAGACACCTGAGCAGTGTGGCATGTGGAAGTCGCCTCCTTGTGCATGGATCCGCAAGACAAAGCTTCTCAGAGGACACTGCAGAGGAGCCTGTGTGGATAGCTCAGCATCATGGTTGAACATTGTGCTCTCTGCATGGCCAGGTGCAAATATCCAAAACGCTAGTGAGAGATTTTAGGCAGAAATAATTATAGCATTTCTGTCTTCAGATTTCTGAGCATCCTGGGACCAGTTTTCCTTTGTTTTGTATGGAAACGAAGGGACTTCTTTGAAAATGAAATTTGAGATTCTGTATAATACTGAGTTGAAGCTGGGGACTTTCACAAAAACATTCACAGCAAGAGTAGAGATAAAAATTGCGAGAACTGGCAAAACTTTGTCCCCTGTAAGTTTTGTGTATATCAGCAAAGAGCACATCTATTGTATTTAAATAGGGACAGACCCAGACAGACAGGATCTCTAGGAATTCAGGTTGCAGATCTGCCCCTTAACAAGCAAAATGTGATCAAGTAAAGCTACCTGCAGTGAGCAGCAGCCATCTCCTTTATACCAGAGGATCCTTACAGCCTTTTTCCTTTAATCCAACACCCTGAGTTAATTGTTAATTAAATACAGCCAGCATTAGAGAAGCCAAAGCTTTGGGTCCACTACGGTGTCATTTTCCAAATGGTCCCTAAGCCCTGCTCTGCCCTTGTCACTCCCAAGGAGCAGCCTGCCCAGTGCTGCAGGTTGGGCTCTGCATTTCAAATGTCACATGGGTGGGAGAGTTTAGCAAGGGGCTTTTGATTTGATGTATAATAGAGATATGGAACAAGTGAGAAATTAATTGCCGAGTTTGGAGGTCAAAATCTGGTGACTCCCAAGAATTGGGACAGGGAGAAATATCAGGGCTGAGCCATGCTGATGCACTAACATGGTGCACTCGTACCTACCTGTGCAGAGAACTCAGAGAGACAGGAAAAGAGCAGGAGATGAAAACCTGGAGCCTCTCCTCATGTGAAATAACACTTATTTTGAGAACTCCTGCCATCCAAAGGGAATGAACAGGGTTGCACACCCCCCTCCCACTCCTGAGCCTTGTGCACTCTCTCCCAGACCTACCACTTTGTGCAGATGGCATGAAGCTACTTTTTTTGTTTACCTGTCTGACAGGGCAGCTCAGGGCAGATGATCTGTGGATCTGGAAGGAAAAGAAACAAGGAAAACTGAGTGATGTGCTGCCATCCCCCTTCATGGCTTGCACAGACAGGTTGGCAAGGTGAGGTCTCTTACAAGGGGAAAGGACTCCAAAGGACTGCCCCAAAAGGCTGGCCCGTATCTGAGGAAGGACTGTTTATCCAGGGCTACATAAAGGTCAGCCCCCACCATGAATGACCCAGCTTATAAGCTGCTGGCCAACCTGCTGGGACACAGTGGCTCTGCAATCATTGCAATGCACCATATATGCCCCCCCACCCCAAATCCTGGGGGTGAAAACTCCAGTTTCAGTAAGAACCGTGCAAGGACAGGTACAGACCTGGGCAGAGTACGTCCTCCATCTTGTCAATGAATTCCTCTGCCACCAGGTCTGAGAAGAGTCTCATCTTCTGGACTCGCTGGGGTTCATTGCAGGCGATGGAGACCAGGGTCTCGCTCTGTTCTGGCTGATCAAACATGTCTCCAATGCCAATAGTGTTGACGACCACATCTCTACCGCAAAGAGCCCCTAGGTTCTTGTCATCATCCCGGGGGTCATAGCGCCCATCTGTGATCACCACAGCAAACACTTGGGCTTTCTCTCGCCTGCTTTCCTTGATGAGCTTGTTATAGGCAAACTGAAGGGCAGATGGTGTCCAGGTGCCTCCAGCGATCCATTCCAGGCGCTTCACTGCTTCCTTGAAGCTTGACAGTGAATCAATGCGCTCATCATCAAGACTGATGGCTTCGAAGGTCCCGTCGTGACTGTACTGCACCACCCCAACACGGGCACCTGCCAATGAAGCATCATGTTACTTGGCTTTGCATCCTCAGTGAAAAGTGGAGAAAGTCAGCAAACTTTCATATCAGCAAAGAGCTGTGCGATTGGCCCACAAAGCTGGAAGGGAAGAGGGAAGAGCAGAAACTGCTGTGAAAATGCTGGACAGATGTTTCGTAGCCCAGGGCAGCTACAGACAAACATGGAAGCTGGAGGGAGCCAAGTGCCTGTTCTTTTCCTTGTGCCCCACTCTGTCCCCACACAGTCCAGACCTGTCTGTGACTTAGGGTCCTTGGCAATAGAGCCCAGCCTGCTGACCACGTTGACAACAAAGTTCTTCTCCAGGGTGAAGTTGGTGTAGCCAATACTCTCCGAGCTGTCTATGACAAACATGATGTCCAGGGCACCACAGCGCTTCTCGCAGTCTGGGGAGAGGGACGGAAGGAGGAAAACACAACAGTCAATGATGGTGGGAACAAGAGCCACCAGGGCAGAAGAGACCATCTATGGGAAGACAGAGACAATTAGCATCACACCAAACATCCACAGGGTTTGTGGTGCTCCCTGCAGCCGGCAGCATAGGAAGGATTTTACATGCATCTTTCTGTCGATGTATATCAAAAGAAACCTTTTTAATTTTGCTGTTTAATGCACTCTATCCTATCATCTGGACCATTCAACTCTATATTAGAGTTCACTGCTCCTGCGACTGGCAGAGCTAAATTTTGGGAGGTAAGCCAGGCTGCCCCTGCAGTGCCACCGCACTCAGTGGTGGGCTGGGACCAGGATAGGCAGGGAAGGACTTCCCATGGTGTCTCCTCTGCAGGGTGCAGCGCTGTGCAGAGCAGCAAAGAGCCCACTGTGCCAGCAGCTCAGTGCAAAGGGCAGCTTCAGCCTCCTGAAGAAGGAGGCAGTCTCTGGTGACCCCCTTTCCCCATCCCTCGAGTGGTCGTTCCCCTGCCCTGGAGAGAGGTGATGGTCCACTCACCACAGCATCCGCACGTCTCTCGCACGTAGGTCATCACATCGCAGTCCTGCCAGCAAAGGGGTGCAGGGTGAATGCCTCCCCCTGCTTATGCAGCACCTGTCCCCTCGAAGCCACCCAGCCGTCCCCCTCCCCTCTTTCCTTGGCTCCTGTGGGAAGTGACAGGCCACCTCTACCGGGCAGCAGCAGGACCTGATGTCCTGTTTTGTTCTCAGGCTGTGCACAGCAAAGCCATGGTTGCCCCAAGGAGGAAGAGCACTGGGTGCTGCAGAGCAGTGCTACTTACAGTCAGGCCAGGATCTCCTGGTGGGCCCGGGGTTCCCTGTAAGAAGAGCACAGGGACTTCAGGCACAGTTTTCCCATGAGTTCCCTTTTTGGGAACTGACATCAGAGCCATCAAAAACGTGGCTTTTTGCAGAGGTCTGCCATGGGAAGGGTAGGAAAGCCTCGCTGGGAGCCAGTAGACACATCTGACAGCTGGTGTCCCCTCCACCAAGCCTTGCTGCAAGGAGACCCACTGGGGTCCTCTGAGCTTTAGAGCATCAAGGAGAAGTGGGGAGGAGAGGAAGGAGCTGCAGCATCTGCTCAGCCACAATGGCATGGTACTATACCTCCGGGCCTGCTTCACCAGTTGGACCGCGGGGTCCGGGCTCACCTCCTGGGCCAGGATCACCCTGGGAAAGAAGCAAAGAAGCATTGAATATTTCCCTGGCAAGGCTGGCGATGCAGCTGCTGGTGTTCGGGGCTCCTCCTGACCCCCTCTTCAGGCACAGCCCTGCTAAGTGTGGTCACCAGCCTGCCGCAGCTGAGCTTGGGGGCACACGGGGCAGGCAGGATAGTGGGCAGCACCATCCTCAGCACACCTGGCAGAGGTGTGGGAGGGGGACGTTAACCCCACAGGCCATATGGGAAGTCTGCTTACCGGTTCCCCCTTCTCTCCTTTGGTCCCTTGCACTCCTTTTGGTCCAAGCTCTCCTCTTCCTCCCTGCTCAAAGGAAGGAGAAACAGATCTGTCATGGAGCACATCTGGATGTGCTCAGGCACAGGCACTACTGCTATGAGCCTGTCAAAAACACATGCCTGCCTGGGCCAGAAGAGCACCCTCTAAACCAGCAGCTCAGCGCAGAGCAAATAAACAGTGTTTACATAGGCATTAACTAAGAATAATGAAGTTTTGCAAAGCATATTTCAGATGGTTTCAAAAGGAGATGGGCTTGAGAGATACACCCAGGCTCTGCAGCTGCAGGGAATAGCCAGGGCAGCTACTGGCAGGACAGGATCCTTGGCCACGCACCCGGAGGGTCAGGTGACAGCTACTTGGCATTTCAGTCAGTACAAAAAAGAGGCGACAGAGACAAACACACTCACCTTGGGTCCTGGCTGCCCCTTCTCACCCTTGTCACCCTGCAAAGGGAGATGAAGGAGAGGTCAGCACCCGACCAGTACCCGCCCTCCACTGTGCACACATATATCCGAAGTCTGCAGTGAGGGGCACAAAGCTGAACAGCAGGTGTAGCTTCAGGCTGATGGTTGGGGTGGTGGGTGCAGCCACCTCCCCATCACCGCAGTTGAGGCTGGGGTCCCCAGCACCTCTGCCACGAGGCTGATGGAGCCACAGCCAGGTTCAGTCCCGGTGTTCAACCCCCTCACTCCCTTTGTGGGCTTCACTTTTTTGTGACCCTGATAATTTTTCTTCCTCCTTCCCTCTTCTCCCAGGCTGCTCAGCTCCAACATTGCTCCACTGAAACAGGCTTCCTCGTGGTGCATATGTCTGCTCCAGATGAGGCATACTTACCTGTGGTCCTCTGGGTCCAGGGTAGCTAAAGCCAGGTCTGCCTCTGTCGCCCTTTGGTAGAAAAAAAATGACCTGTCAGAAACCAAACCCAGCCTTTCTGACCTGGTGATGCCAGCAACAGCCAGAGCTGTTTTCATCCCCTCTGAGGGTGAGACACCACCAGGAGCGATGACTTCTGCAGCTGGCCCTGAAACATTGGGAATGGCTGTGTGGGGCAAGGCTTCACAGGGTCTTGGGGACGTTGCATGCCAGGGACACCCCTGAATCTGTGCAGGGTGAGGGATGTAATCAGAGCTGTCTTGTCCAGAGCAAGGCCTACATCTCTGCCCCTTAGGGAGGCTCAGTCTTGAGCCATTCAGCTTCCAAGGCACACAAGTTTCTGCAGTGGAAACTGCCTTTTTTTGGGGGGGAAAAAAAAAGCACACAAAAATACCCTTTCAAATGCAGACTTGCATTCAAGGACTTTACCTTCAGTCCTGGTGGTCCGATGTCACCTCTTGGGCCCAAGTCACCAGGGTCTCCACGTGATCCCTGCAAGATAGTGTTGGGGAGAGCAGAGGGAGTGGGTGAGGATGTTCCCTGAAGTTCCCCAACCGCACAGGGGACCATGCTGGAGAAACCAGCTCTTGAGATGGTGTTGCGGGACCATGTCCCCTCCTGATGAGGTTACTGTAATAGTGACTGATTCAGCACTTGAGTTTCTGTGTCCCGCAGAGCCACATGGATGTCATGGCACTACTGCCACAGTGGGGTGCTGGGCTAACCACAGACCCAGGACAAATGGGCGCCCAGGGAGCCCCATCTTCCCTTGCCCTGTGACCTGCTCTGACAGTCCCTTCCATACTGTCATGGGAACACTTGGGACCAGGAGTGATTGACAATCAGAGACTCCTGAGTCTTGAGGTTTCTCCTTGCCCCAGGGGCTAGCTGGGGCTTCCGGGCTAGTTTTTAGCCTCCTTGAGAAAAGGTCAGGCAGGCTCCTCTCAGGAGGGACAGTGCAGCCAGCTTATGTCAGTAGGGCAAGCTCTCACTGCAGAGGGTCACACAGATGCCCCAGGATGACTTACGATATTGCCTGGCTCTCCCACAGCACCTGGAGGGCCTCGGGGTCCTGGCAGTCCTTGGTCTCCCTGCAAAGCAAACCAAGACGCAAGAACATACAGAGGCAGGTACAGGCAGGTGTGCATGAGGCAGAAAGCTGGGTGAGCTGCCCCGGACAGCAGCAGTGCTCTCCCTCCCTCCTGGCTGTCACCAACCCCTGCTTCGTGCTTACCCTTGCTCCTTTGCTTCCAACCTCACCAGGCAGGCCACGAGGACCCTCTGGACCAGGATCTCCCTGTGAGGAGGGTAAAGATATTCCTTTTCAGGGATGTCTTCAGTGCTGTCTGTGTGCATGGCAGTGCTCTTTGGAGCAAGGATGCACAATGCCATTCTCAAATCTGGTGTTTCTTGGCTTGTAATGCAGTGGCAGGGCAGTGTGCCCTCTGAACATGTTTCTTAGCCTCAAGCTTTGCTGCCCTTCATCCCCTCTCTGGATCAAGCCCTGGAAGAGGAGGCTGCCACCAGGGCAGGCAGTGGACACAGTGGGAGCACTGCACATATGCAGAGCCCACTGGGATAGACACTTCATGGCTGGGCAGTAGTGCATTACGCACACCAGTCCTGTGCATCTCAGGCTCATTTGCAATGATCTGGGCAGTTGCTTTACTCACCCTTTCTCCTTTAGTCCCAGGAGTGCCTTTGCTGCCTTTCGTCCCTGGATCTCCACGCCGACCCTTGGCAGATGGAGAAAGTCACATAAACAGGATGCGAAGATGGATGCTCCCTAAGCAGTGACGCCTGGCTGCCCTGCCTTCTCCCTCCTGGCCCAAGAGATGTCTCCTTGCCCACTTAGCGAGCATGCACCTGGCAGCAGGGGAGCAGGGATGCTCATGCTGGCATTGCTTGGGGGATCTTGCCTTTGGCTTTTGGGAAGCCACAGCCAGACTATTCTTTCAGGAGGGTGGGCACAGCAGTGACAACAAACACTCGTGGTTCATTCCCTGAACTGCTTTACTCTGCTTTACTTCCAGCTCATCTAACGTTGCTTTCCCCACTGGATCTTGCACAAGGACACAAGCCGGCTGGGCTCTGGCCTCTTGGTGCTGGTGGAGCCATGTTGCTGTATTCTGCCAGGGAACGACGCCTCCAGCCCACACCCCAAATTTTGCAGTGCCCCACCATGGTAGCTTGCATCTGCGTGGCACCATCGATGTCGTGACACTGCCCTTTTCAGAGAGCTCTACTGTGGCAGCCACCAGATCTTGACTCTGAGCTCCTGTGAGAAGCCAGAGGTTTGGGGAACTTGCTACAGAACAGCCAAAGGGTCTCTGGGCATCCACAGAGGCATTTGTGGTTATGTGGGAATACAGGATGCTTCTCTAAGGTGAAATGGTTAACATCAGGCTTAGCATTATGGAAGTACTGCTCTATGAAGATGGGGGAGACAAGGAGATCAGCATTTGCACATCTTTTTTGGGATGCAGAAGGCATGGCAGGCAAGCTAAATGGGGCAGTTTCTCAGAGCTCATCCATGAAACTGCATCAGGCTGCCATGGTGTGCCCACTGTCCAGAGAGCTATTCAGACACTCACAGGCTCTCCTTTGGGTCCAGGAGGTCCCGTTTCACCTTTTCTTCCCTTAGTTCCAGCGGGGCCTTGAGCTCCAGGGTTGCCTGGAAGTCCCTTGGGGAAGAAAAAGAAATACAATTTGTCAGAAGAGAGGCCAAGGTGCACACACACACCCCCTCTTGCCCTGTGTCAAGTAGTCCACCCTTGAGCAGATGTGTGTATGAGCACACAACTTATGTTTCCATACACCCACCATGCCTACATGTCAAAGCTATGTGCACAGGCTCCAGCCTTGGAGCAGTGTGATGCTGTGTCACCTTTCCTCCATCAACCAGTGCAGAGGCTTGTCAGCTCTTCCTTACAGCATCTGTCCAACCCTGCCTAAAGCTGGAGGGCTATTTCAGCCTTCTCCACTATCTCTGAAGTAACTGGCCATCAGCATAGCAACCTCTTTGGCTATAAGGTCAAGTACAGTGAGTAAAGCCTGTGTTAGATCTCTGAGCAATTAATTGTTAAAGTTTACATGAAGTCATGAGACTGTGGCAGGGGAAACCACGGCCAAACAGGGCCTTTCTACCCAGGAGAAGATGGGAAGAGGAGGAAAGATGCAGTGCAATAGATCCGCTAGAAAGGTAAATCCTCCTAGGTCTATTTTGCCTGCTTTTCTCTGCTCTGGACAAACGCTCAAGATCCATTCTCATTTTGCTCTGGGCAGTTGCAGGGATGTTGCACAGTCCTCTCTCCTATTGCCCACATGATATTTCCCACTGTACAGGTGGGAACATGCATGGCAGGAGAGCTCACTCGAGCACCCAGGGGCTTGTGCTGTCTCCGTGCTGGTGGGCTAATTTGCAGAATCATCAGGATGCATTGGCAAGCAGTCATTTTTATACTGGACCTGCTCTGTGACCAGCAGCTGATACTGCCCAGCTCCATACCACATGGAGCAGATCCTAGTAAGACACTGCAGACAGCTGAACGCTGCATGAGCCTACCGGGCTTCCTTTTTCTCCTGGAGGTCCCAGGGGTCCGCTGCGACCAGGCCGGCCAGGATCTCCCTGAAACAACCAGAGATGAATGGTCATTGCTTGCATCATCATCAGCCTGTTACGCACCACTGGTGTGCACCATGAGGAGCCCAAGGAGCAGGGCCAGCAAGACTCTTCCCTCTGCTCCTGTGTCTGGTGATGGGATCCAGACCCCAGAGCCTATGGGCTCCATGAGTAGTGAAGGATTTAAGAGTAAATACAAGCAATGGTGTTTAGCTGTCCCCACTGATAACCTCTGCCCACACTCTCTGCTCTCTGTTCAGAGCACTTGTACCTTTATGCCTTCATCTCCTCTTTCACCTTGGTCTCCTGCATCTCCTGGGTAGCCATCAGGGCCCTAGGGAGGGAAAGGACAAAGAACGACACATTTTGCAATGGCAACAATATGCACTTTTCCTGCAGAATAAATCAACTGGCTTAGAAAGTTGCTCTAGAGACTAAAATAGTTTTTGCTTGTTACTAGTGTTGATGAAATGAGCAGCTCCTCCTCTCGATGTGGAGGGGGGGACACTGGGGGATCCCAGCTTACTTGCCCATGGAAAGGAGGTACAAAAAAATCAGGCTATGCTCCCATTCCAGGGATCCCACGCCTGGGATCAGTTCATGCAATAAGTAGGAAAATGGGCCAGTAATCTCTCGTTGGCCGTCTTTCTATATGCACAGCTCATTCAGCAGCTATACAACTGATGTGCTGAATGAAAGAGTAAAGTATTCCTACCTTGTCACCACGGTCTCCCTTGCAACCTGGTGGTCCAATTCTCCCCAGCTTGCCCTGGAGAGATAGCATTCAAAAGAAAAAGACAGAGAAGCTCTAGGTGTCTGAAGGGAAAATATGGTTTTTCCTGTTAACAGTTGCTAATTTTTAATATCATCTGCTGACCATACCTGTCAGCTAGAGAATAAATAGCAAGTGTACTCCTTAAACAGGAGCGTGATGTGCAGAGAGAAATGGAGGAGAAGTAGTCTAAAAGCCCCGAGTGGTAGCACGGGTGTTGGTGCGAATTCAAGCACGCTCATCCTGCACATGTGCCCTGGGTGAGGGACATTTCCCTTGAGGCTGGATTTGGTGGTCACTCACGTCCATGGTTGCGCTGGTCCTGTATTGTACATCTCGCGTCAAAGCAGCTCAGGTCTGCAGTAACCACACTGCCTGATGGATGCTGTGAGAGCAGTGACCACCTTGCTCTACGTCCCAAAATGGCTTTGCCGGCAGCGCTTAGACAGCTTGCCCCGGCTAGAAAGTGGTGGAGACTGAAGGACTTTTGTTTTAGAGCTTCAGCAGGCATTTGAGGAGTGGGAAGAAGAACTGGTATTATCTCAGAGATGTACTTGGCTGGGTATACGAGAAAGTACAGAGCAAAACCAATGTGTGCTGGCCAGCAGACAAAGCTAGCTGAAATCATCTCAAATTAGGCTATCCCGCTGCAGTGTGTCTGCATGGCATCCAGCTCTAAGGGAGGTCATGGCCCTCTACACTCACCATAGACGGGAGAGAGGATTTCAGGGACTTTGTTACAAAGTACTTGAACCTGGCTTTAGGGCTTTAATGTTAAGAAAAAACAGTAGCTTAGAGATGAAATTTCAGATTCTGTGACAAACTGCCTTGAAAACCAAATTTCTGCAAAGCTTTTTGTGTACATGTCCTGTAGGAGTCACTAACACTCAAGATGAGGTATCTACATCCAGACAATGTGGCCATATCACCTCCTGTAGCAGGACTGGCTGTGTTACACATCTAGTTCCTGCAGAGAGCTTGTTGACAAAGGGATAGCACTTCTGTGACCTGAATTAATTAATCTCCAGCTATCTCAAATATTTCTACAGGACATGCAGAATAATGTGCAAATAAGCTCATAGAAACCTCAGTCAGAACAAAAAACTAGTGTGTGGGATGGGATAAATAAAACAACCTGTAGGGACAAGACAGGGTAAAGAAATGAAACATCAGGAGCAGCATTACAGGGTGGTCCAGTGCTGTTACCTTCTGTCCATCGGTGCCGTTCCTGCCTGCCAAACCAGCGGCGCCCTGGGATCAAGGGAGAAGAGGGATCAGTGACCTGTTAACACACACTCAAGGGCTGGTAGCTGGAACAACATTCAAGTTAGAAAATGTCCTTTCTTACCCTCCGTCCATCGGATCCGATCTCACCCTGGGGGAAGAAGAGGACAGGAGTCAGCCAATCTGCTTACATCCCTCCCACCCATTTAGCTCAGTAAAAACATCAACACTTCACAAGATCATGAGCAATGACTGAAGGAGACAGGCTTTGGGATGCCCCTGGAAATCCCTTCCCATGTCTGCAATTACATATTAATAAGGTTGTTATTCTCCCCATTACAGCTAAACTCTCCCTCTTTGCAACAGAAAGGTGTGTGTCCCCTGCCAAGTGCCCAGACAGACATTCGGTCTCTTCTTTCTCACCTTCTCTCCTTTCAGCCCTGGGACACCCTAGACAAAAAGAAAAGAAAAATGCTGTGTTAGCACCTGAGCATCAGCAGGAGTGGAGGCAGCAGCATGCTGGGTGTCTCGGGTGGGAAACAGGCAGGTGGAGAGGGAGAAACAGCTCTCCCCTTTACCAAAAATCAATGAATGCAAAGAGCTCAGTCACCGGCTATGGGATTCTTACCTTGGGACCAGGGTACCCGATCGGACCTTCAATACCTGGGTCACCCTTAAGGGAAGAAGACATGGAGAGTTAGCATGAGCACAGCAGAGATGCAGCCCCAGCTAACGCAGAGGCAGCACTGCTGGCTGTGGTGGCGGGGGTGGGACTTTCCACAACTCACCTGTCGTCCCTTCAGCCCAGGGGAGCCTGGTTCACCCATGTTCCCCTTGGCACCCTAAGGAAGGAAAAAACCCAACATAAGTCAGGGCTTGGTGATGACCATGAGAAAATGGCAATTTCTGGGAGCATCAGGCTCACTGTGGCTGCTCCTACAGAGCTTGGGGCAGCATGCTGGTGGAACAGGACCTGTTGTAGTCTGGGGAAGCTGGGGAAAGACTGTATGGGGACGGGAGCACTCAGAGCTGGGGGCAGAAGAGTGGGACACCTGCACACGTGCGAGCTCTGCTCTTGAGCATGGGAGAATCAGAGACAACAGCTGCCTCACTCCTGTTGTCCTGAGGTGCTGAAGGTGCCTGCTGTGGCTGGGGCCGCCGATGCTTGGATGACTCTCTGCACTGGTGTCAATGCATCAGCCTCAGCACAGACATGAGGAGATACTGATGCTTGCTGTGTGCTCCGTTCACTGCAGCACGGCAGTCTCCCAGGGCCAAGACAGGTGCTGGGGAGTTTTTTCCCACCTGGGTGCTATGCCTGTGAAGGCTGCTGCAGCTGAGGTGAGATCTAGGGCATCCTGCAGTGTCTGTGGCAGGCATGGGCATTATTATCTTCCCACAGGTTAGGGCGACTTACCTTCTGCCCTCGGTATCCCTTGGGACCAGGTGGACCTGCAATCTCCAGACAGCTCATCTTGTAGCACTGAAATACAAATTAAACAGGAGGTGTAACTGCTGCTCTGCAGCGTGCCGGGTGTTTCACATGCTGAGCCAGTGTGCACCTGAAGCTCAGCTCTGCATCATGGCTCTCCACACACCTCGCCCCTTGACCACAGTGCTAAAAACTACTATGGCTCCAGCTGAATCAGAGTTGAGGCAGCAACAACCATGCAGAAAAATGCTGCCTGTAAATTAAAAGAAGAAAGTTGCCACAAGCACTTTCATTGTGGCTTGGCTCTGGGCCAAAACTGAAAGAACAGGACTGCTAAGTGTCAGGTGAGGTGGTGTGGGCTTGCTCTTCTGGGGCCATCAGGGGCTGCCCTTTGGAGCATTGCCCTGCACACTCCTCCCTATGTATGCCAAACCCTGTCCATGTGATACCAGCAGGGGAGGGGCTTCAACTTGCAGAGCACCCACAAAACATGCCTCCAAAGTGATAAAATGGGTCTTTTCAATAGACCTGAATTCATTGCAGGTGAGGGGGAGGCAGAAAGTGAAGAGTCCAGTGTGTCATTTTAACCACTGGGTAAGGGGATGGATCCCCAGGCTTTGCACTGATCCACAGGTGGGCAGAATCCCATCATGCACAGCTCACTGCAAAATCTGGCCTGCTACTCCAGGGAACGAGCTTGTCTTCTCTAAGTGAGGCAACTTAAACCTGTGTCGTGTGGCAATGGCATAAAGATGCTGCTCACTCACCTCTCCGTAGGCTTCATGTTTCTGCAAAGGAGAAAACAGGATGAACAGAATCAGTTAAGGTGGTCAGCCCCAAAAGAAAAGCAGCATCGCACCCTTGGAGGTGTGTGTGATGGTAAGGGACAGGAGATGGCAAAGGTCCCAAGGTTTTAAAGACATTCTCAGCAGAGTCCCTGATTAACAGTGCCTCACAGGTGTGGCCTCAAAGACCATGCTGATGGTGAGCACGTCTTGGTGCTGCACACTCTTCCATGTGCCTCTGGATGGGGAGCAGGCTGGAGAATGGGTCTGGCCTTGAGCAAGAGCCAGGACTAGGGTGGCAGCTTGCCCAGACATGCTAGGGCACAAAGGCACTAACCAAGGAGTCCTGGTTAAGCACCTAACCAGAGAAATATGCTTGAGACTTTTGGCCTATAAGTGCTGAAAGGACATAGAAAAGGAAGAGAAACAAACCAGAGGATTTTTCCTCCTAGAGGTGCTCTCTAGAGCCCTGCCAAAACCCACCATGGGGCCGCTCAGAAAGCATCCCCCCCATCCATGCGCTGCTTCTCTTGCCCCCCCCCGTTATACTCCCTGCACCTCAGGTGACACTCTGTACCATAGCTTGGATTATCCTCTCGGTGGTGTTCACGTCAATGTCCAGGGTGTCTTTCTGTGTGATGGCGTAGTTGTTGCGGTACAGCTCATGCGGCAGATTGGCAATCTCCCGCAGTCCCTGCTCATAGACGTTCTCACTGGGGGCCACTGCGAAGAGCTTGATCCCCATGTCTCGTGCCCTCTCAGCCTGCATCTTCATCCCCCCGCAGGGGCTGCCAGTGACATGGCCATCAGTGATGACTACTGCAAAGTTCACACCCGTGGCCATCTGGGTCTGGATCTGCTCTGTCATGTTGGAGATAGCGCAGTCTGTGAAGGTGCCCCGGCCAAGGTAGTTAATAGCGGACAGCCTGGGGAGGTATATGTCTTTGCTGCTTGTTAAAGGGCTGTAAATTTCCACCACATCAGAGTAATGAAGTCCACCAAACTGCCAAGTGATGTAGACTTGGTTCTGGTAGAGCTCATTCTCCAGTTTATCAATGAATATAGGGATGAACTGCTTTATTTGATCCACGAGGCTCTGGATAGGCACAGTCTGCAGAGCAACACTCTCCGAGGTGTCAATGATGAAGTACACATTGATGGGGCAGTTCCTCTTTTCTGCATGGAGACAATTATTCAGACCATGTCAGAGCACTTCATGCACCACTGCACCCACTTCACTGTCCCCCAGAAACCTGGACCGAGAAGCATATATAGACAGCACATAGAGGACACCACATAGAGTTGTGAAAAGAGCAAACCACAGCACAAGGCTCGAGACTCAGTTTCCTGCGAGGGTGTTGCAGCTCTTACTAATGAGGAGTTATTTCCACCTGGGTTGGAAGAAATGAGGAAACTGAGGGCTAAGTGCCAAGTTTGAATGAAGAAGAGCAAGGGTATGACTTTTGCTCTCCTGCACTAAATGAACACCCTGCCTGCCAGGCTGCTGGTTGCTCTCTGACTTACAAACATTTTCAAAAAGATCATACCCAATTGGGATACTGGAAAAAGCACAAGTCCCACTTAGCTCTAGCAGTAACATTTCTGTTTGGGTCGGATGACTCTCCAGTGCCTAGGACTTCAAAATCCTAAGATCTGCTCAGTATTGAATCAATCTTGAAAATCTTGCCATTTTTTGTAAAAGTCAGGCTGGACACGTAAATCACCTCCTCTGCATTTCAACTGAAAAGTGCTGAAATCGTCAAATTCAAAGTGGACCCTTTTCTGACATCAGATACAGAGCTGAGCTCTGGAGACTCCCTGGTATTTATTACTGCATCAGCTGGGAGAAGCCACCACTGGCAGACCCCAGATCTTCAATCTCTACCCCTCTGCACTCCAATGAAAACCCAGAAATGGAAGTTTCAGTGGAGGACGGTGTTCCCTACAGACGAATCACTACCCTAGGGCACGGCCCAGGAGTGCAAAGATGTAGGAGAGGTGTAACATGCCACTGTCAGCTCCTTGTGAGCAGGCTCTACAACTGAGCATGGTCATTGCTTTTGGTAAAGTTGCTGCCTACAAAGGAGAGACACACCCAAATTATCTGGTTAATACCTGCACAGGAGGTAGGACTGACATCTCCAGGATCCCCATCAAACTGAGCATGGAGAGGAACTAGAGCCACACAAAGAAGAGTGGAAAACAAGGCTTCTCGGAACATCTCAGCAGTTCCTCTGGATATTTAGATGCCTGTGGGAAAACACAAGTTACATGTTAAGCATGATACACAACCTCCTAGCTCTGCTGGGAAGATACAGGGCCAGCCAATGCTCCTTGTAAACCCTGTGTGTGGAAAGCATGACCTCTCCATCACTGTGATGCATCACTGGGCTGCTAATGTAGATTTTGATACTGACTTGAAAGCTAAGCAATTAAAATATTTCCTTTGTTGGCATATTGACAAATGATTTAACAGTTCTTTAGCTTCTCTGTCAGTCTGAAGGGAGGGATCAGGTGGTGGAGCTATTGACAGTCCATCAGGATCTTCTCATTTCATGGTTTCTCTCCAGGTGTGTGTCTGTCCGCTCCGTGACCACATTGGCTCCATCACCCCTGATCCATGCAGATGTAGACATCCATGCTCCTTTCTTTGCCTGCTTGGCCAGACCACCAGTGAAGGTGTGCAGCAGGTCCTTTCCACCTTCAACTCACCATGTGGGTGTGGTGATGCCTGCGTATACTGAAAGGGTTCAAAATCCCTTGCTTAACAGCGCTGCTTTGTAGCCCATACAACCCATGGAGTGAAGGGATGAATAAACAAGCACTTGAAGAAATGCACATCTTTAGCATTCAACCCGTCACTGGGTCTCCCAGGTCCAGCTGCACATGGGAGTATACTTTGTGCTGGGTTATGATAACCTAAGCAGCAGAAGAGTTAGAGATCTAGTCTGAAAAGTTCTTGGGAATGTATATGTAAGTGTTCAGAAGAAGCCAGGCTTTGAAAGGATATTCACAGACAAAACCCAAGCGACACTTATCAACAGCAAAGAATGTGGAGGAAGAGGCAATACTCGCCTTTATGTCTAGAGGACAATCGCACTAACCAGCATGGCCCCTTGATGACACACAGACCAAGTAGTGGCATAGACACTTTTCTGCTTGGTGGTCAACACAACACAAATCAAAAAGGGGCATGTGTGATCTCTGTTAGGAAAAGGTGGCCTGAGTCCAGTCCAGAAAGAGAGCTTCTTTAAATGGCTTTTTTGGGTAGCTCTTGGAAGAGTCCAAGGCTTGAACAGACACTGACAGTGCATTCAGTTGCATTGGCAGTGCAGGGGGAGGGCAAGTTAGTAATGCAATTGAGCTGCTGCCTTAGTTGCAGGAGAAACAGCATTACCTGAGGACTACAGACAGCTCAGCTCCCCCTGCATCTCTCTGGAGACCTCTCTCCATGTGGTGACCAGCTGTTCCCTGGTGGGACACGTCCTGTTCGAGTTTACACTGCAAGCTGCAGCGCATCACAGGGTTCTGCAAACTGGTTTATGCTGGAAAGGCTGGTTCCTATCAGTGCTGCCAATATCCCTACAACAGTGACAGCGTTCCTCCTTACTAAGACTTGTGCATATGCTAACAAGCCTGTGAGAGACAGTGCTCAGGCTGGATTTTAGATAGGGGAAGGAGAAACCCTCATGCTCTTTGGAGATCTCCTGGGGGAAGGGGACAAGATGTACAGAGATCTGAAAGCTTCGGGAACACCAACTTGAGGTGCTTCACAGATATGACTCAGCAAAGCCCTCTGACACTGAGGGCCTCTCACATGCCTCCAGCTCAGCACCCAAATGTCCCTGCCAAGTAGTTCATGGGTTTTTTTTCCCCCCTCCAGCTCAGAGAGGCTGCAAAGCTATTTGCAAAGAGACCTGACTGAGGCCTCATGAAGTCCCTGCATAGGTAAGTGTGGCTCAATTTTAATTTTGCTGCAGAGAACAGAAGAATTATTGTAAGGATAAAATACTTACTTTAATGCTAAAGGGGTATTTTAGTTAAGATCAAGACTTATCCCTCTAGCCTTATTACAGGCTTCCCTTGTCTTGTTTGCCCTCCGCAAAGCAGAGCTGCAGGACATCCTGATCTCTTGTAGGACACAACAGCTTTGTGCCTTCAGACAGCACCATTTTAGAGCCATCTTTTGTGATGGCTGAGGAAGCTGGAGACATCAGCTTTTGGAGAGGCCGGGAGCACTGGAGGCTTTGGCCAAGTGTCTGACTCACAGATCACTGCGTCCTGAGTTTAACCACCTCCCTCCTGCCATGTGTGCGTGGGTGGGAAAGGCGCTGTGCGGAAGAGCTGCTCTCCAGGCAGAGCCGTGGCGAGCAGCTAAACTGCACAGGCAACCAGGGTCAGCTCTAGCACAGGACTGCCCCTGCCCGGAGACCTCAGGGCTTTGGTCTGGATCAATGAGACACCATGGCCTTTGGCTCTACACTGGCAGAAAGGCGAGGCAGAAAAGTGACAGCTGAAAACACTAGACATGCTTCACTTCTTTGTAGTCCTGTTGCACACATTCTCCTTATATTTCACTCTCACAGGCGCTCTGTTTCCCTCAGAGGGGATCTCTGTGCCTCAAGCTATGTTAGCCTTCTGCTATAATAGTATCCCACCTGGTCATTAACAGTGAATGGACACATAGCAGGGAGGCCCCTCTCCCCACCTAAGGAGTCTCCAAGGCTGAGGTGGGCAACAGTGCCTATTTTGTCATCCTCAGTGCACTATCAGTTGTTGTGATTCTCTCACAAATCTTATAACATTTGATATTTTCCTTAAAGCTGCACCTCCTGCTGTAAAACGCTCAAATGGAAATCTCAGATTGCACCAGCAAAAGGGTATATTTCAAAGTAATGCATTTTCTGGAAGCTGAAGACAATTTTTAAACACAGTAAAGAAAACTAATGGAAAGAGCAAATTGGGAGCTGACTCATTACATTTGAATACTTGTGTCTGCCCATCCTGTTCTTCCTTGACCTTTCTCTCTTTGCAAGAGCAGGACCATGATATTGTAGGAGCAAGGCCTTACAAGTATTTCCCTTGAAATTTCCTTCTCTCAGTATTTGTATTGTTGAGTGATGTATCTCTTTCCCCATGAGATGCACACAAAGAAAAAAACAGCAGGGAACCTTGAGCAGTGGTTTTGGGTCCCCTGAACAGATTTTGAGGGCACTGCTTTGCACCATCCTCCCTGCATTAGGGTCTATGCTCCTACCTAATGCCTCAGGTGGTCAGCAGAAAAATGCATGGTCTTCTCTGCTGCTCCTGTACTAAGATCTCAGGTGACCTGGCTGTTACCCACATAATTGCAAAAGTATATGCAGTTATCTACACAGAGCCCCGCAAAAATGGTGGTCTTGCAGGAGGACCTGAGTTCTCTGCTTGTGGGTACCTCTTCCCACCCTGAGCAACTGAACCAAATGTAATATTATGGCAAACAAATGACTTGCAATGACTCTTTCAAATGTGCAAATTATAGTCAGCTTATTTGCACTCTCACATCTGATTATCAGATAGATCAGATTTTAATGCAGTAGAAAGGTCACCTCATGTGCCTGGCCAGGCAGAGCCATAGTCTGTCTTATCCCACACGTTGATATTTCTGAAGTTGCTCCTGGTGCATTGTGTATTTCTCCTTCAATACCCCAACAACTATTATAGCTGAGCAAATTGTTCCCAAATTTACAAAAATTCAGGTGCTTCTCTCTGTAAGCTAACTCTGCCTGCAAGGACCTTATTTAAGGCCACAGAAATTGCATTACTCTCAAGAAAGGAGAATTATGCTAGCTATGTCATATGCAGAATAAAGTTTGAAACTGCACTGCTGCTCTGTCATAGTCCCAGTCCCAACTTTTTTCGCAGCCATGTTGAGCAGGCAGTGCCTGTGGTGCCACCCACTTGTGCAAGGCAGCATTTTACTCCACTCAAATGTTTGCTAAATAAAACCAGAAAAAAAAAAAAGTGTCCCATTTGGAACAACAGCTCTTATAAATGCACCTCCTCTTCCTCGTTTGCATGCTCACGGTTCGCACATTGCATGCGGAGGGAATTTCAGTGTTTGTCACAGTCACTACCCAAATGTGCCCTGTATCTTGAGTCCCTGGGCACACCACCCAGGGGGAAGGTTTCCCAACAGCTGCAGGGAGCCCAGCTCTTCAGCTCTCCTACTGCAACTATCCCGGGACTTCAGCCAGGGAAAGCCCAGGCCGCAGGAAGGCTGTGGGGGAGCAGCCCTCGCCAGGTGCTCCAGCTGCAGGACCACACCTGTCGCCCAGGCGATGCTGCAGCCCCCTGGCTCTGGCAGCCAGAAACCTCCATTTACAGCACTCATGCAGACCCCTGCCACCAAAAAAACAGCTGACCCGAGGAGGCAAGCACAATGAGCTCGCAGACATTTCTGAACGTGCTGTGACCCCCCAAAATAGAGGAGCTTGTGCTGATGAAACTCGGCATAACTAGGAGACATGAATCACAGGTTAGTCTAATCCATATCTTCTGAAATTCAGAAAATCAAAGAGGAATAGTGCAGCATATACAGTTGCTCTGCTGCACAGCAGCAGTGGAGTACCATGCTGCTACTGCTGCCGCTACTTCAGTGTAGCCAGTGAACTCAACTGAGCTGCCCCAGGGAAGAATTTTGTTCAACAGGTCTGGACGTTTCTAGACCTCTGGCTCTGGCAGATGAGAGTCTGTGGCTCAGATTACCCACACCCGGAAAAAACTCTTGGAAAAAGGGTCGAACTAGCCAAAAGCTGAAAGCAACAGAAAAATATATATTCTCTTATAGCAGGTACTGTCTAAACATGATGTGCCTGAAATGAGTGAGCAGCTTGCTGGAGAGCCCGTGAGCAGTGGCAATAGCTGTGCAGCCCACAGGGGCACAGGCTGGGATTTCAGAGGCTGGCTCTTTTATTCCTAGCTGGAGAACAGTCAGTAAATAGCTGCACGACCACTATACAAGGAGAGGAAAACTCTGCCTACCTGAAAACGAGGTCATCAAAATTTCCTCCAAAAAGCCTCCGAAATGTGAGGAAAAAGACTTTGTGGAGTTGCTCGTATCAGGAAGGCTCCTGCATCCCCGGCTGGAAGGGTGAGCTCCCAGGCTCTGGGCGCTCGGGGGTGCGTGGGGAGGAGCGGCCAGGAGCAGCAGAGGCGTCTCCAGCCCAGTCCCTCTGTTCC